AAAGAAAAGAGAAATAAGTAAAAATGCAGAGATTTTTCTGGGTCGGAGCCTGTGGCTCAAGGAGTAGGGTGCCAGCCCTATATGGCGGGGGTGGTGGGTTCAAGCCCAGCCCAAAAAATTTTTTCAGAGTTTGGGTTTATAGAGTATTAGAGGAAGAATAACCAATACTTTGAACAAGACCAACATAATTCCAGAGTCTTTTATTGATCAACATCATATATATACAGAACCACCAAAATCAAACATCTGTGCATGGAATTCGGTTTCCACCTAAAATAACTTGTCTTTCTGCCCACCTGTTTCTGTGAAGGTTCTCTCCTGAAACCAAAGAGTAAGCAAGGTTATTAGTACTGCCCCAATTAATCCCTACCCAGGCACTTTCCTAGGTGCTGGTCTCAGTCCCATATCCGCATTTCTCATCCATAGATGTCCACTCAGATTAGGTTTCATCCTGGACCAGACATCCTAAAAGGAGCACTACTAGCTACACAGAACTACTTGTTTCTATCCCTCAATCTATATCCCATCTCCCTTGTTGGGGGAGTAAGGAAGCTGAAGTCATACGGAGGGATGTGTCAGACTCCAACCACATGTTTGCAGCTATCACTCCTCCACGCTACTGTACGTGGCCTGTAGGCAGTCCTGGCCTGTAGGTAGGGTTAATCTAATGGACCAAGCCATGTTGTGAGCATTTTTGCCCTCTGGTCATGAGTAACTAAGAAATAAAGCAGACAAGTAAGGCCAGATGTAAATGTACTAAGAACCTTTTTTTTTTTTTTTGGAGACAGTCTCACATTATCACCCACTGTAGTATGCTGCTATGTTACAGCTCACAGCAACCTCCAGCTCTTGGGCTTAGGCAGTCAGTACTAAGAACTTTTACACAGCACTGAGTAACTTTACATCTCTGTTTGCTACATTATTTAAGACAGGGTTTGGCTCGGCGCCTATAGCTCAACCGGCTAAGGCGCCAGCCACGTACACCTAAGGTGGCGGGTTCGAATCCCCAGCCCGGACCCGCCAAACAACAATGACGGCTGCAACCAAAAAATAGCCGGGCGTTGTGGCGGGCGCCTGTGGTCCCAGCTACTTGGGAGGCGGAGGCAGGAGACTCGCTTGAGCCCAGGAGTTGGAGGTTGCTGTGAGCTGTAATGCCACGGCACTCTACCCAGGGGGACAGCTTGAGGCTCTGTCTCAAAAAAAAAAAAAAAAAAAAAAGACAGGGTTTATGTACAATGAACAGTACCTGAATCTATAGGAACCTGTGACAAAGCTTCAGGTAATCATGAACTTACCCGACTCAGTAACTCCGTAATCATACGTGAAGACAGCTTTTACTGGTAACCTAGATCCAACAAAAAGGATACCATGAATCACAAGAAAGCTGATGACCAGGTATGGTAGCTCTTAGCACTTTAGAAGGCTGAGGTGGGAGGGCTGCTTGAGTTCAGGAGTTCGAGACCACCCTGAGCAACAGTGAGACCCCATCTCTACTAAAAATAGAAAAACCAACCAGGTGTTGTGGCAGGCATGTATAACCCCAGATACTTGGGAGGCTGAAGCAAGAGGATTGCTCGAGCCTAAGAATTTGAGGTTGCCGTGAATTGACACCATGGCACTCTACCCAGCTCAAAAAAAAAAAAAAAAGGAGCTGATAGATCCCTCCCTGAAGAGAACAAAATCCGTCAGCAATCACTATACCACTTCTCACCACTTCACATACATTCATTCATTCCCCTTGTAGCCAAAGCCTGCATTTATCTTCCATTTTACAGGGGACAGTTGAAACAAGTTCAGAGATTGCAACCTTGTTTGAAACTGGCCCACTGGATATGTAAATATATACCACACTACAACGATGTGAGGCCAGCTTCAGTATTACTTTTCCTCCTTTTACGACCACCAAGACCAGTGTTCAGATCTGATGGGAAAGGGAATCGGGAGGGTCAAGATGTCTTCAACATCAGCCTTACCTTTAAAACACAGCTCCAAAACATGCTGTCCTTCCATATCAGATACTGCCAGGAAACTTGAGGAACCTGCAGAACAATCGTTTATAGTGTGAAAAGAAAACCAAGAAATTGATGGAAAACACCTGGATTCAGATGGAAGGCTGAGCCCAGGTCTTGAAGCATTATAGGAAAGGTGAGTGGCAGCTACAGGTACTGTACTGACCTAAGCTGTCAAAGTCTCTCCACATTGTTCTTGCATGCAGTTGGAGATCCCATGGCAACAACCAGCCACAGTCCTTGGAAACATGCAGCACTGTTCCCCACTGCCCTCCGTAGCTCCCAAAGTTAAGTGTCCAGAGCAAACCTACACAGGTGTCCTGAGATTGTTCTGTTTGATCAGTTATGAGCCCAGGAGCCTTCACTCTCCAGAAAAATCAACTCCAGCCATCTTGGAATCTTCATCTGGCACAGCTAAAATGAGAACACAATTATCCTGAATTGATCTCATTGTTCCCTTCATTTGGTCCTCAGAATCAGGTCTGACTAACCTTTGGTCCTGATACTGACCCATTAAGCTCTGCAGTTAAGTGACCCATGCACTGTTATGTATGATCTGTGTCACATGCCACTGGATTGTCTCCAACCTACTCCCAACTGCCTCTCCACTCTCCATGTTGGTTCTTAGTCTCACCTAGCTACTTCAACCTCCAACTCCTGGGCTCAAGCGAGTCTCCTGCCTCAGCCTCCTAGGTAGCTGGGACCACAGGCACCCGCCACAACGCCTGGCTATTTTTTTGGGTTGCAGCCATCATCGTCGTTTGGCGGGCCGGGCTGGATTTGAACCAGCCACCTTAGGTGTATGTGGCTGGCGCCTTAGCTACAGGCGCCAAGCCTTTTCTGCTGTTTTGTGGGAACATGCCAAGCTCAATGAAGGTCTCTGGCTAGATCCAAGAAATGGCAGGTACAAAAACTGTATTTTCCCAAAATGTTGCAGATCAGTTACAGCAAACAGAACGGCGACCGTCAAGGAAAACTGTCACTCTAGGCTCCTCTTTGACCACAGCAGCTATATGGAAGCAGCTGCAGCTTCGATAAGGGCCACAGGGCAATCACAAACCACTACTACCTAGCCAGGTGATCCCCTAAATTTTGTGCATTATTTTTACTGAAATACATTTTAACGGACACTCTAGTGGCCAAAAAAGCAAAGCCATCCTGTAGGTCCCAACAACTACTATTTTATCTTGTGCTAGTCTGTGCTTTTTCTTAATCTTCTTGGCATCATTTTATCCCTATTGTATTTCTAATTTTTTTTTTGAGAGACATTCTCACTATGTCGCCCTTGGTAGTGCTGTGGCATCATAGCTCACAGCAACCTCCGACTCTCGTGCTTAAGTGAGTCTTTTGCCTCAGCCTCCCAAGTAGCTGGGACTACAGGGGCCGCCACAACACCTGGCTATTTTAATTGCAGCTGTTGTTGTTTTAGCTGGCCCAAGCCGGGTTCGAACCCAGCCTCGATGTATGTGGTTGGCGCTTTAATAATTGTGCTACCGGCGACGAGCCGTATTTTATTTATTTTTTGAGACAGAGTCTCACTTTGTCACCCTCAGTAAAGTGCCATGGCGTCACAGCTCACAGCAACCTCAAACTCTTGGGCTCAAGAGATTCTCTTGACTCAAGTCTCCCAAGTAGCTGGGATTACAGGCGGCCGCTACAGTGCCCAGCTCTTTTTACAGAGGTGGTTTCGCTGTGGCTCAGGCCAGTGGCTTATCTGTGAGCTCAGGCAATCCCCCCGCCTCGGCTTCTCATAGGATTGCAGGCGTGAGCCACCGCGCCCGGGCGTTATCCCTATTTTAATGGGTAAGAGATTTGGACCGATACAGTTACATGTCAAAGGTCACCTATCATATTAGAAAACGACGAAATTGTGGTGCAAAAAAGGGTCTAAAGGACTAAAACATATCCTTAAATCCCAGAAAACATGGACGCAATCACCTGTCCAAAGCCACTCTGCCGCTAACCATAATAGGCAGATTCAACCGAGATTACCCTGACACCAGCACGCAGCCTCCTTCAATTAATCTACTTCAGGCCCAGGGTTGCACCCCGCGGCCCCAGGTGCCGATTCGTGCGCCCTGCCTTGTCACTCACCCATCAGGCCTGAGCGCGCAGCTGCGCAAGCCGAGGCCGGAGAGGGTGCGGCCCCCGCGGGCCCCGGCCCTTCTCACTGCGCAGGCCGCAGTTGAGGCCTCCCGGACCTGGGTCCCACCAGGCAGGCAGACACAGCTCCTCCGAGCGGCGATCAACATCATGCAACCTCGGGAGACAGCCCATGCAAATACCAACGGCGGCCGCGCCGTAGGGTAAAGGCGCAAACCGCAGAAGGTCAGGCTTTACAGCACAATCACCGCCTCAGCCGCCGCGCAGGGAAAAAGAAAGAGCTGCGCCGAGGGGCGGTTTATATAGACCTCTCTGACGGTCGCGCGCGTTACGCCCTGGGAGTTGTAGTTTCTGTGGCCTCCGGTTCCCGACGCACGTACCCGACATGCCCTGCGCGCGTACCCGCGCCCACCAGGAAAGTGCTTTTCCAGGCCAGAGGAGGAGCCTTCGCATCGCAGTATTTGGGGCGCGCACAGCTGAAAAGGTAAGCAGAGCCGGGGCGCCCTCTGGAGTTCAATCTCTGGAATGACTTTCAGTGTTGAGAAATTAACCGTGAGAGCTGGGAAAGGGCTGGGCTCAGAGCGCAGTGGGATGCGAGCGATCCGCGACTGAGAGGGTTCGCAGGAGGGCTCAGATAAATGCAAGCCTTGTCTCTCCACTAATGTATAAATTATTCAGCGCTTACTGTTTAAATTGTGCCCGACTATGGGAGGCACCTATGGCTCAGTGGCCGGTATATGGCCGGCCCCATATACCGAGGGTGGCGGGTTCAAACCTGGCCCCGGCCAAACTGCAACAAAAAAATAGCCGGGCATTGTGGCGGGCGCCTGGAGTCCCAGCTACTCCGGAGGCTGAGGCAAGAGAATCGCCTAAGCCCAGGAGTTGGAGGTTTCTGTGAGCTGTGACGCTACAGCACTCTACTGAGGGCGAATAAAGTGAGACAGAGTCTCTACCAAAATAAATAAATAAAAATAAAATAAAATAAATTATGCCCAATTATGTCATCTAGTTTTCATTATAACTATAGTTATCATAATTAGGTCTTTTCTTTCTTTCTTTTTTTTGAGACCGTATCTTGCTATGTTGCCCTGGGTAGAGTGCTGTGACGTCACATCTCACAGCAACCAACTCTTGGGCTTAAGCGATTCTCTTGCCTCAGCCTCCCAAATAGCTGGGACTTGCAGGCACCCGCCACAATACCCAGCTATTTTTTGGTTGTAGTTGTCATTGCTGTTTGGCAGGCTGTAGAGATGAAGTCTCTCTCTGGCTTACGCTGGTCTCCGATTCCTGAGCTCAGGCAATCCACCCACCTCAGCCCCCCAGAGTGCTAGGATTACAAGTTTGAGCCACCATTCATGACAATATTAAATTTTCTCATTCTCTCCATATATTTAGGTCTTCCTTTCCCTTTACTTTTTTTGGGCAGTTTTTGGCCGGGGCTGGGTTTGAACCCACCAC